TGTCAAGCTATGCTTCACGTTTAAAAGCTGTTATAACTGTAAAAGGATGCTGTACTAAGTGCACTTGGGGGTTGAATAAAACTGATAATGCTGTGAGCACAGAAAAGACATTTGTGGTTATTTCATTATAAACTGTTATGTTATATTTGTCTGACCTACAAGTGCCTCTTTAATGTAAATGTAAGCAAGATGACTGAATGATCAAAAGCAATGTCAAACTGGCCAAAACACTCAATTTCAGTGGGGGTTGAATAATTTTGGTCACAACTGTAGCTGCAGTCTCCAGTCAGGGACAAATTGGGGTTTAGTCTCCCCCAGGAAGGAACGTATATGTACGCTATTCACCCTGAGGTCATCACATTGGACAAGGGGGCACTCTTTACGTCTGGAGGAAAAGAAATTGAATCTCCAAACAAGGAAAGGTTTCTTCACAGTGAGAGCTGTGAAAATGTGGAATAGACTCCCTCAAGAGTTGGTTCTGGTTAGCTCAGTGGATTGCTTCAAAAGATGCCTGGATTGTTTCTTAGATACACAGAATATAACTGGATACTAACATTTATAGGTAAAGTTGATCCAGAGAATATCCGATTGCCTCTCGGGGGATCAGGAAGGAATTATTTTCCCAGCAGGAGCAAATTGGAACATGCTTTGCCGGGTTTTTTTGCCTTCCTCTGGATCAACTGTGGGTATAGCATTATAACTTTTTTTTCTATGATTGAACTGGATGAACTTTTGTCTTTTTTCAGCCAGACTAACTATGTAACTATACATGCACACAGTGAACAATGACAATGGTTGTCTGAAGAGATAACATTGCTGAACAGTGAAGCTGAAAATGCTGATGGGTGAATAATATATTTTATTCAGCTACGGTTTTTTGTCCACAATGGATCACTTAAAAAGATGACGAAGTATACTTTATTGTGGATATACTATTTACCAAAAGGAGGCTAGGGATAATAGTCTCTTAATACAAGCAGTATATTGCTGTTACATTTTGATCCCTGATATGTACCATTATTGATAAAAATTGGTGTGTCTTTGATAACACAATGAAAGGTGGTTTAACCTCTCTCTTATGATATCATTTTTGAAGAAGGAATGGACAATATGTGCTTGATCTTTCTCTAGGAAAATTTGAACACAAGATCCCCAGTTATTGTTTATAAAAATGCTAATGATCAAATTAGGTTAACTCATTAGACCCTATTGGCTTTGGTGTGTGGGCATGCGTAACCCTGTCCATTGAGGAGGCATATAGTGCTAGATAGCCATATGTAGTGCAGTGTGCAGACGGTTAATTGATCATACATAATTCAGTAGAAAGCCTGACTACTTTCACCCACTTTAACTGGAATGGACAGCACTGATGAAAGACAGTGTAGTCTGATTATACACAGGAACAGCTCATAATAAGCAGCACTCTTTCAGGAATGTGGAGTATATTGGCTAAGCATGATTTGAGTTTAGTCTGAATATGTTCATATTTCTTAAGGTGAAATTCCAGCATATGCCATACTGCTTTAACATTGCCACAGCTACCACTCTGCATTGCATGTATTATTAAGCAATTAGCTAATATACTGTAAGGTGAACTGCTCAAGAACTTCCCATTTGTCACTGATATCTGTAGCCTTGAATCTACCCTCCTTTCCTTCTGGCATTCCAATGATAGAAAAATAATTTACAACCAACACTAATGGAATATTACTAATCAGCAAGGTATAACATTGTGTCAATTAGGTTTTTTTTTTGGTAAACTAAAGGTCTCCTACAAATATTACAGATTCAGCCTCCGCTTCCAGTGGATCCTGTACACCTACATATCTACAGTACATGAAACTAAGACGCATGCTAGCTCCGCAGAGAAGGGACATGCCTACAGGCATACAAATATTCTATAATCCAACAATCCAAGTGCCAGATAGATTGAACATCCAATAATGTATATAGCAGCCTTTTCAGCCTTTTTAGCAATTAGCTAAAATACTGTACGGTGAACTACTCAAGAACTTCCCATTTGTCACTGATATCTGTAGCCTTGGATCTACCCTTCTTCCCTTCTGGCATTCCAATGGTAGAAAAATCATTTACAACCAGCACTAATGGAATATTACTAATCAGCAAGGTATACCTTTATGTCAATTAGGCATTTATTTTGGTAAACTAAAGGTCTCCTACAAATATTACAGATCCAGCCACCGCTTCCAGTGGATCCTGTACACACCTACATATCTACATCAAACTAAGACGCATGCTAGCTCCGCAGAGAAGGAACATGTCTACAGGCATACAAATATTCTATAATCCAATCATCCAAATGGCCAGATAGATTGAACATCCAATAATGGCTATAGCAGCCTTTCTCTGCCTTTTCAACACAGAGGAACCCTTGAAAAACCTTTCTGGTCTCAGGGAACCCCTGCTAAAAATTACTATATCTACAACTCATGATACATTAGTGTGATGGTCAGTGGGAAGAATGCGCCTTACATTTGTGGTCATTAGGAAGAATTACCCCCTCACAGATCGCTAAAACGATCATCGGAGTCACATGAAAATATTGTGTATTTGCAGTGAGCACATATTTTGAGTGTTAATGTAGTTCCTGTAATTTTTGTCTCATTCACATTTTTACAAGCTTGTTGTACATCATTTTTGGGGGATATTCTTTATTAAGTATTCGAAAACGTGCATACAGAAAAAAAATACAGTGTTATCATTGATTGTCATAAGCAGTATCAATATGAAAATGACAACTTTGTTTACTTTACAGAGTACAAAATATAAACAACTGAATGTTTTGAAGAATAGGGAATTCCCTTCCCTATTAGTAGTGTTTTTCTAACATAAGCGGAAAAGAATTATGAATAAAAGTGAGGTTTGCACCATGAAATTCAGCTTGTCATTAAGTTCCACACGCAAGAGACAGGGACATGGGGGTGTGGTTTAAGAGGGGCGAAAAGGACAGGAGAAGGGGGGTATAGGCAGGGCTGCTGTTAGAAACCATGGGGCCCCATACAGCCAACCTGATAGGCCCCCTTCCCCCAAAAAAAAAGTTTACTATGCTTCAGTTTTAATAAACACAGTGGGTGATCGGTATTGATCACTCATTGTGCTCATTCAGGAAAGGAAGGGGCTGGTAAATGTGACAGATTTACCAGACTCTTCCTCCACTCTCTATCTTGAAGGATCCTATTGTGTGCTTGCAGCTGCCGGTGGGAAGGAGAGGAGTGAAGCTGGTAGCACTGCAAGGGTGGGGGCACACAAGGGGGCCTGGGCAACAGGGGAAAATGTATGATGCATGGGGGGGGGCAAATTACTGGAACCAATCCTCTGTACAGCTCTCTCTGCAGCAGCTGAAAGCCAGTGGGAGAGAGAGGGAAAGAAGCCAGCTTTGAGCTGCTGCAGAGAGAGCCATACAGGAGATCAGTTCCAGTAATTACTCCTCCCCATGCCGGTCACCCTCCCTGCACATATCTGATTCACCCAGCTGCCTGGGCCCCCCTGCTGGCCTGGGCCTCATACAGGAGGATCAGTGGTACTCTCTTATCCATAGCCATGGGTATAGGGGTAGATGTTCTCCAAGCCAGCAGTCAGAATGGCGACGTCCAATGAAGTAAAGAAGGATGGGGTTACAGTGATGTATAAATAGGCCGGGGGGGGGGGGGGGACATCTCAGGGTATAGTTGATGAGATTATCAGAAAAAGAAAGGGATGATTCAGTGAAAGGGGTATGGAAACAAGGTAAGTTAAATAAAGCAAAGGGTAGGGTTGAGGAAGCAGGGCTTCTTTGAACATACACAGAATTGGGAGCAGAGTGGATTTAGGTTGTTCTTGATATCAGAGTTTTGCCTTTGTCTGAAAATAGAAATGTTATAATATATATCATGTTTGTTTTGTGAGGACAAGACAAGGTCCCCCATCTTCCTTGCTGTAGTCCATTTTTATATTGTATCAGTGATAGAAAATTGTACGTTAACCCATAGAGCAGTGGTTCTCAACCTTTCTAATGCCGCGACCCCTTAATACAGTTCCTCATGTTGTGGTGACCCCCAACCATAAAATTAATAAAATTATTTTCGTTGCTACTTCATAACTGTAATTTTGCAGTGTGAGGACTAGTGCCACATCATTGGTGTCAGTGGAAGGAGTAGTGCCCCATCACTGATGTCAGTGGGATGAATAGTGTCCCATCGTTGGTATCAGTGGGAGGAATAGTGCCCCATCGTTGGTGTCAGTGGGAGGAATAGTGTCCCATCATTGGTGTCAGTGAGAGGAATAGTGTCCCATCGTTGGTGTCAGTGGGAGGAATAGTGCCCCATCGTTGGTGTCAGTGGGAGGAATAGTGCCCCATCGTTGGTATCAGTGGGAGGAATAGTGCCCCATCGTTGGTGTCAGTGGGAGGAATAGTGCCCCATCGTTGGTGTCAGTGGGAGGAATAGTGCCCCATCGTTGGTGTCAGTGGGAGGAATAGTGCCCCATCGTTGGTGTCAGTGGGAGGAATAGTGCCCCATCATTGGTATCAGTGGAAGGAATAGTGCCCCATCATTGGTATCAGTGGAAGGAATAGTGCCCCATCATTGGTGTCAGTGGAAGGAATAGTGCCCCATCATTGGTGTCAGTGTGATGGAGGGGGGAATAGTGCCCCATCATTGGGGTCAGGGGGAGGAGGAATAGTGCCCCATCATTGGTGTCAGGGGGAGGAATAGTGCCCCATCGTTGGTGTCAGTGGGGGGGAAATAGTGCCCCATCGTTGGTGTCAGTGGGGGGAGGAATAGTGCCCCATCGTTGGTGTCAGTGGGGGGAGGAATAGTGCCCCATCGTTGGTGTCAGTGGGGGGAGGAATAGTGCCCCATCGTTGGTGTCAGTGGGGGGAGGAATAGTGCCCCATCGTTGGTGTATGTGTGGGAGAAATAGTGCCTCATCGTTGGTATTAGTGACACAAATGATGGGGCACTATTCCTCCCACTGACACCAATGATACTTACCTTGCTGACCCCTGCTCCAGCCTGGGCTCGCTCTCTCACTTACCTGTCAGCAGTCTTCCTTCTCTGGCCGCTCTCCTCTTCACTTGCTCCGGCAGCTCCCTCGATCTTCTTTGATCTACGCGCGCTGCAGCTCGGCTCCTCCTCTCCAAGTTCCAGCTCCTCGCCGGTGATTGGCCGCCTGTGTGCCTCTCCTGAGCTACAGTTCCGGTGGCCAATCAGCGGCGAGGAGACGGAGCTGTTGAGTGATCCCGGAGGTGTGGCCAGGTGACAGGGGCAGTATATCATCCCGCCCACACATTGCCTGAGACAGAGGAGCGGTGTCTCTGTTCCTAAGACCATCGGAAATATGTGTTTTCCGATGGTCTTAGGCGACCCCTGTGAAATGGTCGTTCGACCCCCAAAGGGGTCGCGACCCCCAGGTTGAGAACCGCTGCCATAGAGGGAGGCTCTCCTCTGTTGTCTCTCTCCTAATGTCTTCTGGGCTGCAAAGCTGAAGAGTTGAATCCCTAATAGACTGGCATTATTTTGACCTAAAGAAGCAGTAAAACACTACCACTGCTTAAAACAACCTTGTCATCACGCTACGCATCAGGCAAAAAGAGATCCCTGCAAAAGAAGATGCAGTATTCTCATTTCTCTGGTGGCCCGTGTCTGCTTCCTCCTCTCTATTCAAGCACTGCTGTATCAGCCAGTCCTCTCAGCATTCATTATTTCTGAGAGTGTCAGATGCCTGTGTCTCCAGCTGTATGGAGTGGTTCCTTCTTCCGATCTATATGACACTATAGTACACAGCAGTAACGTAAGAGTCCTATGAAGGAACCACAGCACCTGGCAGTGGACACAGGCATGCAACACTTGCAGACGTGTCAAATACTGAAGGGTCTTAAAGAGGCTGTAGAGCTGAAGTTCAGGGGAAGTAGGAGACATGGACCATTGGACAGGTGACTATACTGCATCTTCTTTTGCAGGGAAATGTTTTTTTTTGCCAAATGGGAAACCGTAGATAACCAGCATGAAAACCTTGGGTACACTGTGCTGTACCTGCACTGTGGGAAAACTGCACCGGAGCAGTGGGAAAGGGGCCTTAGAGTGATGATAGAGAGCTTTAACATTGACAAGTTGGACGCAAAGTCTGCCGATGTAATCAGCAAATATGGCTGTATCATGTTCATAATTATACATCATACACAGAAACAGAATTTTGAAACACTGAAACATACATGACAAAGAATAAGACTGGGCTCACATACTGTATGTGTGGGGTCAGTTTCAGTGCAATTTGTAAAAAGAGTTTGGTGCAGTTTCGTTCAGCGGTTCAGGTGTAGATTTTTAAAGTGTACGATACTGGAAATCACACCTGAACCAGAATGAAAATCATACCTGATCCTTTTAAAATTGCACTGCGACCAGCCTGCACATATGTGAACCGTCTCCATAAAAAGTCAGTTTGTTTCACATGTCATGTGGATCGGATGCAGTTCAAAACGCCATGTGTACTGAGACTATTTTAAATTATAACTAAAGGCAAAACCTAAAGTTTTGGATAGAGTGGAGAGGGATTAGAACACCTGTCAGGTTTTATTGCTGTCTGTGCCCCCATTAGGGAGATTCACCTTCTCTATTTGCCTGCTTATTGTTTAAATCAAAAGTGAAACTTAAAGAAAATCCCAAATTTTGGGTTAACAGAACATTAATGGAAGGGAAATCTTCTAATGGGTAGACTAGTTCTGGTGATACCCTGGAACTCCCTCTCACTTTGGGGGGGGGGGGGGGGGGTTATATCACTTCTTGATGTGGTTATGGGACAGGAAGTGAAGGAAAATCTCTCAAATAGAACACAGATGGCAAAAAAAAACTAACAGGGGTTATAACCTTCCCTTACTCTAGTTCAAAAATTTTAAAAAGATGTTTTGCCTTTAGTTCTACTTTAAGTTAACTTTTATTTGTTACTTCTTTTACCCCATTAGAAATGTCATACATTCGAATTCTTTAATTCAGATGACGTTGTCTCACAGCACCTTACGAGTGAAATAACTAAAAATTGGCCATTGGACGTTTAAGCCCCTATTCTTTTGAAGGGCCAGTGTCTAGATAGCTTGTTGAATGCAGGGTCTTTGTGCACTGTGTTACTGCCCCATAGCTGGGATAGCAGATGGTTTTTAACACATGGCTATTGGAGAAGACCATTATACACAGGAGGTGAGTAGAAACTCCAAGTACTGCTGGTAGATGAGGCCTATGTATGGCTTGTGGATAGAGGTCAAAGAGCAGGTAAATTCTCCAAGAACTGCTCAAAGATTGTATTCTATGAATGCTTCGTTTAGAGAGCTCTAATATGTACAGTACGTGGTGTGGGTAAATGCTTCACCTACAGCTAATAGATGTTGTCCTTATGACTGGCAGATAGAACCATTGTGTACAGCTAGGTCATGGAGTTCCACATTGGGCCAATTATCTGGATCTTTTTGTGCATCTGCTAGACTAAATGACCCGTTATAATTTGGCGTTGGATGTCCACTTGTGGAAAAATGTTCTTTTCCTTCAGCTGAGCATAATAACCCTGTATGTGACTGATTGATGAATAGATTGTGTACTGATTGATTACACATGATCCATGTGTGATTAGCAGATGACCAGGAATATCACATGTAAGTCATTGGATTGATGTACAGTGTATGAATTGAAAACATCCCATACACAGCTGGCAAGCGGATGATTTAGTGGCCCTAATATGTCATTCCCAGCTGCGGATTCGTCCATCTCTTCTTATGTTTGTCTACATTTGTACTTTATTTGTCTTGTCCTGTGCCTTGGTACCTTCTTTTTCTACCTATACAACCAAAACAAGACCCCCACTGTTCTGTTTATCATCCAGTCACTCCTGATCCCTCTGCTCTATGGTCTTCCTGAACCTTCCACTTGACATTTTTCTGCTCATCTATTGTACTAATGTTCCTTGTCACCCTTTACTGCTAATTGCAAATCTTTTTCTTCTTCAGTCAGCTACAGATACTACCACTCTAAAAAGTTTTGATGGGCTTTTGTTCACGACACTGCTTCCCTACCTATATAAGTGTATGGTAATTCAAAAGCAGGTTGAGTCAGCTTAGAAGGAGGTCTTATAAGGTCAGAAGGAGGTCATCTTAAGTGCAATTCAATCTGCCCGATGTATGAATTGGTAAGCTCATCAATAGCTGAGATAAAAAACTAGCCAAAGGTCAAACAACCACTTCTGTTGCCTCTAGGCTTGGGGCTACATAATTACATAGTTGGTAAGGTTGAATAAAGACACCAGTTCATCCTGTTCAACCTATGTGGGTGTGTTTGTGCTCATGCCAAATATCATATCCCATATCCCTGTAAATTGTGTTCGCTAAGATGCCCATCTAAGAGTTTTTTTAAACTATCAATACTTCCTGCTGACACCACCAATCATGGAAGTGAGTTCCACATCCTTACCGCTCTGATAGTGGAAAAACCCCTATGCAGTTTAAGGTTAAACCACTTCTCCAATTCCATTAAGTGGCTCCATATCTCCTAGATTGTAAGCTCGAAAGAGCAGGGCCCTCGAACCCCTCGTGTATTGTTTTGTTACTGTATTGTCTCATGTACTGTCCCCCACTATAATGTACAGCGCTGAGCAAACCTTTTGGCGCTATATAAATACTATATAATAATAATACTATATTCCCTGAGACTGAATTGTTTATTCCCTATGCTAGAATAATAAAATTATTATTATTATTATTAGGTGTTTGTATATTGCTATCATAGCTCCTCTCAAGTGTCTCTTCTCCAGGGAGAATAAGTTTAATGTTTGAGGTCTTTTCTTGTAACTGAGTTCCTCTAGTCCTCTTATTCATTTTATTGCCTTTCTCTGGACGCTCTCCAGGTCAAGCACATCCTTCCTGAGGATTGGTGACCAGAACTGGATGGCATACTCCAAATGTGACTGGAATAGAGTTTTATAAAATGGCAGGATTATAGTTTTATGTCTTGAATAAATACCGTTTTTTTATGCATGCTAATATTCTGCTAGTTTTGCCTGCTGCAGCTTGGCATTGCATGCCATTGCTGAGTCTGTCATCTACTAGGACCCCTAGATCCTTTTCCATCCTGCATTCCCCCAGGAGGTTCTCCTAGTGTGTAACTTGCATTCATATTTTTGGTACCCAAGTGCATTACTTTACTACCAGTCTGGTTTCAAGTTTGAACCATTGATAATGGCTGAAAAAAATATCTGTGTACCTTTTTTTGCCCACACTATGGCAAAATTATGATAGCTGTGAAAATTTTTTATCATAACATTGACTTTTCTGCACATCATGCAGCGAAGCTATGAATTTAGCACTACACACGTAGGACCCGCTTGGTATTTTTGGTTCTCTGTTTTTGCCTCGCCTCAGCGAGCAACCTCAACTCTGGTTACACAAATCGTCCTTGCAAGCATTTAAAGTATAACTAAAGGCAAAACTTTTTTTTTTGGTTTTGAACAGAGTGCAGAGGGATTAGAACGCTCTATTTCGGTCTGTGCCACCATTAAGGAGATTTATCCTTTCTATTTGTCCAGTTTACCATTATCATTGAAAGTTAATGTGAAGTAAAGTAAAAAAAAATCCCAAGTTTTGGGTTGTCCCCAGAAAAGTAATAGATGGGAAATCTTTCAATGGGGACACTAATTCTGGTGGTCCCTAAGGAATTTCCTTAATTTGCAGGGATTTCCTCTCACGTGCTCTATCCAAAATGAAGAAAAGATAATTATTCTGCACACAACTATGCCCTGGTATCAAGGAATAGGTACCAGGCTTATTGACAATAGAGAGAATATATTATCACAGCTTAAAGTGTTACTAAACCCACAACAGTAAAATCATTCTGTATATTCAGTAAAGCATGCTTGTTATACTCACTGTGGAACCTAAGGGGTTAAACTGCAGAGATTAGGACTATGTTCAAAATATCATATAGTTTGCAGGGTTCAGGACTATGTAACTTACATCACAGCATTTAGAGTGCAGCAGTAAGAAGTATGTAACATACAACATAGCAGTATAGAGTGTAGCGGTAAGAGCATGCAACATTGTTCCCCCTACATTGCTGATCAGTGTAATTAAAATACACCAGTGTGATTAGTAGCAGTAAATAATTTCCCCCCTGAGTCAATGGTGATCAGTGACAATAAATATTTACTCTTCCCAAATCAGTGTTGGTCAGTCGCAGTAAAATGTTGGCAGTAAATAATTCCCCCATCATCAAAACATTGGTGG